CCGGCAATCACTGACTTTACATCTGCATACTGCATAGAAAGAAAATGGAGTTACTAAATTGTAATCCTGCTGTTGTATTGAAGAGTTGAAACCGATAAAAAAAAAATAAAAAAATCATCAGTCAAATAAAAAAAAAAAAACTAGCTTTGCCACTCCTCTCCACTATGTTTCCCTAGGTCCATGCTTACATTTCTCCCCACACTGACACTCTCTCTTTAAAACCATATTTATTGTATAGTGTATTTTACCACATTTTACTACACTTATTTTTACCACATTACCATATGACTAGTAAATATTCATAATAATAAATATTTGACTACAACATAGAAAGCCTTACCTTATTAAACCTCTAGTAATACGAAGCCCTTTTCAAAACTGTGTTAATCCTCTAGGACAGTTCTCCTAAAGATGTAAATCACTCAAAAATAGTTTTTTTTTTGTTAAATTAATCTGGAGCATAATCTGTAAAAATACACGGCCCTTATAGCATCACTTAAGGAATGTTGGGAAAAGCTTAAGTGCAGTATAGCATATGAACACTGTGCATTTCAGAAAACTTAGTACAAATATGCCTCATATTGTTTGGAAACTCCCAGATGTTGTCATGGAAATTTGCAAACATCTGTACTTTACTGAGTCAATAAAGAATTGGACTTAAACGTTAACAGCAAAGGGCGACGGAGCTAAGCCACTCAACGGAGCGGTCGCAAGCGTCAGTAAAACCTACCATTACAGCACTCAAAGACCCAAAAACCGACAGCTAGAACAAGGGGGCACAGCCTTCCACCAACCAATGCCCTTCATATACCGCCAGACAGGACGGAAAGCACGCTGCTCAACCAAGGCCTACTCATACTACAGGGCCTTTGAAACGGCGCTCCACAACGCGGTTTTCTCCACAGCCTTATCGCCCACGGAGAACACAACCACCGACCCGGCAACCATGGGACGAAAATCCCAGCGGATAGCAACAGGTGCATGCAAAGATACACAAGACATTAGCACCATGCTCCAACACACCGTGGTCCCGAAAATGGCGGCCACACCCGACCCAGACACCAGCTCCACGTGTTCGGAGCTCGCCATAGGGGACACCCTAGACCAATTGCCACCCCAGGGGCACCAGCCACAAAACTAGACATTAAGAACCTCCTACTGGAACTAAGGCAAATGTCCGCAGCAGATATGGCCTTAATGAAAACAGAGGTCCAAGCGGTCACAGACCGAGTGAAGACCACAGAAGATGACATCATAGACGTCCAAAAAGAAGTGAGAAGTCTTAAAGAAACAGTGTCCCATTTAAAAACCTCACACGCAATCCTGATCAATAAGCTGGATGCAGAAGAGGAGAGAAGCCGCAAAAGCAATGTGAAAATTAGGGGCATCCCTGAGGAAATAAGCCAGGCAGAGCTACCACACTATGTCAGACGCTTGGTCGCCACCATATTGCCACATGCACAGGCCAAAAAGCTAGCTATTGCAGGGATATTCCATATCCGCAAATCACCGCAGGCACCCCCCCAAGCAACCAAGGACGTGATCGTCCAGTGCCATACCCAAACAGACTGAAATGCCATCTTTGCAGCCTTAAAATGCAAAACACCACTGGACTTTGAATCCGCAAGTCTCACATTTTATCAGGACCTGACAAGAACCACACTCCAATGGAGAAGAACCCTGCGCCCTATGACCCGTCGCCTCCAAGACGCCAAGATGACTTACCACTGGACAGCACCAAAAACACTGTCGGTGGACCATAATGGCGCCACGTTACACCTCAACTCCACTCAGGAGTGGACTCCTTCCTCAGGGCACTGGGACTCCCACAAGGACCTGACCACACGATGAGCCCGCTAGCTCCTATACATGGGACCCCACCAGGACAGTCCCTTTTGTACCAAGGGGGAGAGGAGCCCCTTTGGCAGCCACCTGACACCAATGACTGCCTTGCTACCAACAGGCAAAAATCACTACTGGCGCCATTGCTGTTCTAATTTGTTTTAGATGGGTTTTAACTTGTATTTAACATTTATTACTCTTCAACTAGCCTAGCAAAAACTAGGAACCTCTGTAAGGCACACAACCATACGATATCTCTCTGGCTTAAAGGGCCACTATAACAGCAAAGACCCAAGCACCAACACAACCACTAACGGATAACACGCTATATAGCAAAACATTCCCACGATAGGGCCAGCAACAGGGCCGCTAGCGAGTTCTTCCCGCCCCCCTGCAGCCTCCTTGGTTAGAGGCTACTGACCACACGCACACACACGAGCATCAACGAAGCACATAGGGCAACCTAGGGACAGAGAAACCTACACCCACACCAAACACGATAGGACATTGGGCCCTAGACATTGCCACAAAGACAAGAAGTGTGGCAACTTTCATTATCGCCACAGCCAACACCAAGTACCACTTACACGGGACGAGGAATGGTTGCTCAGAACCCAAGTCATACACTAGGCGTAAAGAGCATATTGAACACATACAACTACTTCCTCTAGACAGGAGAATGTGGCGATCTAGCGATAGCTTCAGGCAGAATGGTGTAACGTATGAACCTATCCCAAAAAATGTGCACCTTATCCTAATGCAAAATGTTTGTTTATGTTTTATGTATTGAAGCCTGAGAAAACTGTTGTGGCATCTCAGGCGACTATGTTAAGTAAATGCACAACAAAAATAAAGAATTAAAAAAAAAAAAAAGTTAACAGCATAGAGAAAAAGGAAAATATGGACACCAGTTAGGACACAGTGATCCATTGATACTGTGTCACGGGTCACAAATATTTAAGGTTAACAGTGATGGACATGCTATACAATCAACTGCCTTGTATAATCCAGACAATGACTGTGAAAGTGTGTCACTCTGCAATGTTTTAGAGGCCTCTCTGCTTGAACATATTTCTAATTGAGATAATCCTTCTTCATGTGTTCAGCAATTGCTGAATGGAACACTATAGGCACTCAGACTACGTCATCCCATTGCAGTTTGTGAGAAACTGCAATAACTACAATGCAGGGTTAACTCCACCTCTTGTGGCTGTCTTCATGGGCGTCCGCAGGACTTTTTCCAGGGGGGTGGCATAATTGTAATGACATCCATGCTTGGTACCTTTTTGACAGTGTCATGAAAGGGAAGGGGCATAGTCATTATCACATAAAGCCAGGGTGAATAGCAATTCAAAACTATGGTGTCAGTAATACATGTTTGTTTTCCTGACACTATAGTGTTCCTTTAAACAAATTAAAGGAACATTCTGGTCACCATAACATCTAAATGAAAATGCTATGATGCCAGGAAGCCCCTGGGTGCTCTCTTTCCTTTAAGGGGTTAACCACTCTCAAATGGTTTAACCCCAAAGGCTTCCTCCAGCTCCAGATCGCTCAGTGGTATTCGGCTTCTGAAACGGAGTGTCAGGAAGTGTATATTGACGTCAGGCATGGGTGCTGCAGATTGGCTAGAGTTGACAGTTGATGCTCTAAGCCAATCGCTAGTTCCCGGTTCATAAAAATTTTTAACTTTTTTTATGAATGGGGAGCTACTGATTGGCTTAGAGTGCCAGCTGACCGCTCTAGCCAATCAGCGACACCCCTACCCAGCGGCACTCTGTGCTTCTTGACACTCAGTAAATAAAAGAGAACACATTAACACTGATATTTATTTATTTTTTTTACCTGGGGAGATGAGAAGGTCCAAAGTTTCCCTGCCAGGCCCAAGTACCAAAGCGTTATGATGTGGTGTCCAGAATAAAGTGGCGGGTTCACTTCACTTGTCTTTCCTGATCCAATCTCCTTTTCTTCTCCTTCATTTGACACGGTCTTCTTTTTCTTCTGACACTGTCTTCTCTCCTCCTTGGCTCCTATACCTTTCTGCTACTTTCTGCTTATTTTGCGTCCTTCTGCTCCTTTCTCTTTCTGATCCCTTTCTGCTCCTTGCAGACCCTTTCTGCTCCTTCTCCTACTTTACCTTTGTGCCCCTTGCTGTCCCTTTCTGCTCCTTGCTACCATTTTCTGCTCCTTCTCCTACTTTACCTTTGTGCTCCTTCTGTCCCTTTCTTCTCCTATCAGATCCTTCCTTCTCCTTGCAGAACCTTCATGCTCCTTGCTGCCCCTTGCAGACCCTTCCTGCTCCTTGCAGACCCTTTCTGCTCCTTGCTGCCCCTTCTCCTACTTTACGTTTGTGCTCCTTCTGCCCCTTCCAGCTCATTGCTGACCCTTTCTGCTCCTTGATGTCCCTTCCTGCTCCTTTCTGTTCCTTTTCCTACTTTACCTTTGTGCTCCTTCTGTCCCTTCCTGCTCCTTGCTGCCCTTTCCATCTCCTTGCTGGCCCTTTCTGCTCCTTGCTGACCTTTCCTACTCCTTGCTGCCCCTTTCTGCTCCTTGCTGCCCCTTCCTGCTTATTTCTGTTCCTTTGTACTCCTTCTCCTATTTACCTTTTGTGCTCCTTGCTATCCCTTTCTGCTCCTTGATGTCCCTTCCTGCTCATTTCTGTTCCTTCTCCTTTCTGCTCCTTCTCTTACTTTACTTCCCACTCCTTCCTGACCCTTCCTGCAGGCTGCCTCCCCATGCCTCACTACCCTGATCTATAGGCTATCTCACCCCCCATGCTTCACTACCCTGATCTATAGGCTATCTTGACACTACTGAGTTAGGCATTCATGTTTGTCTTTCTAACGCTATAGTGTCCTTTAATGACACTCCATCACCTAAGAGATTTTGTTTCTCAGTGGTCTTATCTACATCCATACCTGCAAACTATAAATACTGAATAATCTTTACACACTCGTTAGATCCAGTGGTACTTCTGCTATACCACTTAACAAGGAATGGATTACATTTCTGGTTGGTGAATGTATTGGCCAGAATGCTTACTGAGCAGAGAATATGAACCATTGAGAAGTGCCTTCTGCCTAAGTTCAACTGCATGCAATGGTACATGTTCAAAAGCCACAATTTAAGATGTTCCATTTTACACATTTCTCATTTTATATATCTGTTGTGTAACTTTGCAATATAGTTTCTGCCTTTGGAACCCTCCCCTACTTTTCTTAGAAAAATCTTCCTTTCTGGCAAATTTTGCAACCACCACAACTGCAGTGGCAACATTATAAGGACATTTTGAAAATAAATTACCTTTAATTCTTGTGCCCCAGTGACTGGAATGTTCAAAAGGTTAACAATGGAGTACAAATGGGAGATATCTAAGAATGCTTTCATTCTGAGAGCCCCCATGTCCCGATAAAAAATAATACTATTTAACAATGGTCAATATAGATTTTTGCTCACACATTTTAAATAATAATATAAACATGGGAGGAAAAGATGATACATTTCCTGTGACTTGCTCAAGCCCTTACTAACACATGCACCATCATGGCCTGCGAATCATTCAAGAATAATAAACCAAGACTATGCTGCAGCTCCATTCAATAACCACATCAATAACTACGCTATCCCAGCGACACAAACAAATGGGGCATATGATAACTGAATTCTCCACGTGAGCTATCAAATTAGCAAATTATTTTTACATTTTAGGAATGATTTATTTCACAATTGAGAAATAAATAATTGAACCATCTTCTATAAATGATAGAATGGAGTTAAATTAATAAAAAAATGGTAATGCATGTCCCAAGGAAATTTATAGAGTGACATCAAAACATCATGGCACGAAAGTTGTGGTTGCCGCCTGATCTTTCTGAACAATGCTGTTTTTGTAACACGACTCTTCTTCAACAGACCCTACGACCTTGTGATCTGCATTTGGGATATTTCAGTATCTCTCACATGTTGAGGTACTTATTTTACCATGGGTAACAACAACACAGGAAAGTAAAAACTATTTGCCCAATGGCAGGACAAAGTATATCTAAGTTTGAGCGTCGTTACTTGCTGCATGTTATATTAAAGGACCACTATAGTGCCAGGAAAACATACTCGTTTTCCTGGCACTATAGTGCCCTGAGGGTGCCCACACCCTCAGGTACACCCTCCCGCCGGGCTCTGGGGAGAGGAAGGGGTTAAACTTACCTCTTTTTCCAGTGCCGGGCGGGGGACTCTCCTCCTCCTCTCCTCCCTCTTCGGCTGAATGCGCATGCGCGGCAGGAGCTGCGTGCGCATTCAGCCAGTCCATAGGAAAGTATTCACAATGCTTTCCAATGGACACTGGTGTCTTCTCACTGTGATTTTCACAGTGAGAAGCACGCAAACGCCTCTAGCGGCTGTCAAGAGACAGCCACTGGAGGCTGGATTAACCCATAGGTAAACATAGTGGTTTCTCTGAAGTGGTCTGGGTGCCTATTGTGGTCCTTTAACACTTTAATGATGTTTCAGAATTGTTTAGCTCAGTTTGCATTCAGATGTGTATACAGCACAATCAAACTACACAGACCAGGTTTTGGTTTTTCCAGAAGCCCATACAAAAACATATGCTTCTTTTGCCTTGTTGCTCATTATTATTATTATTATTATTATTATTATTGGTATTTATATAGCGCCAGCTTATTCCGCAGCGCTTTACAATAAGAGAGGTAATTACCAAATAAGACAATATCCTAATCTTATTAAGTACCTTAAGAATGCATAATAACATAATAGTGCAAATGGTCTTAAAGGAACTGTAGGTGCACCATAACAGGTCCTGGTGATTTCTTACCTGAAAGGATAAAACCAAAGGGTTGTACAGGCCACTGTGATATTTTCCAATGATACTGCAATATCTGAGGACAAGCAAACTGCCAGACTATGAGTATGTATGGTGTCCCTGAAAGATGTTCGCAAAATGGCTGCAGAATGAGGTAAGACAGTGCACAAAACATTCATCACACATGTCAGTCATTACTGGTGGTATTAATGTCATACCTTTCAACTCTAGCCCACGAGTCATAACTATATATAGCAGATCTGTGAGTTTTGTGCCCGAAAATAAGGTCATGCTTTTGTGCTTCCCCCCAGGCCAAAAGTTACTTGCCCTTCCTTCGGAATTAGAATTACATTCTTACGAAACACAGAAGACAACCAATATATTCCCAAATTCGCAGGCTGATGGGAAACCATCTTGTAGGGTTACAATAATAATAATAAATCTAAAACATATAGCATCTATACACTATTAAAGGGACACTATAGTCACCAAAACAACTTTAGCTTAAAGGAGCACTATAGGTTCAGGAACACAAACATGTATTCCTGACCCTATAGGGTTAAAACCACCATCTAGCCCCCCTGGTCCCTTAATGCCTGCATAAATATTGTAAAATCTTACTTTTATTCAAGTCTGGAGCTGCATGCTTTGTCACTGTTTCCTTTAGACCTGCCCACTGCCTGCTGACATCAGCAGAAGTGGTAACCTGATCCAATCATAATGCTTCACCATAGGATTGGCTGAGACTGACAAAGAGGCAGATCAGGGGCAGAGCCAGCACAATTCAAACACAGCCCTGGTCAATCAGCATCTCCTCATAGAGATGAATTGAATCAATGACTCTCTATGAGGAAAGTTCAGTGTCTGCATGCAGAGGGAGGAGACACTATTCTGGACCGGCTGCAGAGGCTATGAATGTGTTTTTCAGGAGCACATGGCGCTCATTGCCCTGATGAGATTATCCATACCAAATCACCTTCCCAGATAGTTTACTCAGTCACAACTCACATGTAAGAAGATCTGGCGGTGTTTATTCGTCATATGATCTGTAGAATGTGCAGTTACGACAGGTAAAAGAACAATTCTTCCATACAGGATAGCAGAGAAACAAGTCACATATGAATGTACAGCATAGAATACACTAGAACAGAAAAAAGGGGAGGGGAGTACCTGGAGCAGCATGCAAACTATGGAGTGGCCCAAGGGACAAACTTAAGATGAACATTAAAGAAACAGTACATTATAATAAAACAATATCATGTAACATGACACTCCCCGCCTGAAATCTTTAGATTTCAAAGCCTATTATATATATATATATATATAAAGATAAGTCCAAATGTCTAAAAGGTCCAACTTGAACCTGTAAGTGAAGAAAACATTGGAAATAATACTGGTGTGTAGACCATAAATACGAGATACCTGCAAAACAAAGAAGGTATGCAGTAATGAACAATAAAACATGAAGTCCAATAACAGATGGCTAAAGTCCTATAGTCTGCAGTTTATAGCCGTGGAGCTTCAACAGTGGCATAGTTAACAGTTATAGCGGCGTTCTCCCCGCCATAGTACCGTACTGTCTGGTACTCTTGCATAAGTCACTCACTTGGGAGAAGAAGTACCAATTCTCAGGTAACGTCAGTGGAAATTGAGTAGGAGTTTTCGTGAAGATATAGGGGGATATAGGTCTTGTCCCATAATCAGCAGGATTAATGTCCGTGGGAATATAATGCCATTGCTTTGGCAGAGAGAACCTTCTGATACATTCTACTCGATTACTGACGTACACGTAAAATTGTTTGGTTTGGTTGTAGATGTATCCAAGCACTATCTTACTGTCTGTGTAAAATGTGAAGGAATCCATTTTAATGTCCATTTCACTCTTTATGACTTCAGCTATTTCCACGGCTAGCACGGCTGCACAAAGTTCAAGTCTGGGTATGGTATGTGCAGGTTTTGGTGTTAGCTTTGCCTTGCCTAGAACAAAATTGCAATGTATGTCTCCATTGATCCCTGAGGTCTTCAAAAAGGCAACTGCAGCTATAGCTTCAACTGATGCGTCTGAGAAAATATGGATTTCCCTCTGTTTAGCGGCTGAAATGGAGACTAGGGCATAGCAACGTGGAATTTGGAGCTGTTCTAATGGCTTCAGAGAACCTCTCCATTTCTCCCATCTTTGTTGTTTCTCCATGGGTAACGGAGTGTCCCAATCTATGTTATCAGTAGTAAGCTGTATTAGAAGCATCTTACCTTGGGTGGTGACTGGGGCTATAAATCCCAGTGGGTCGTAGATGCTATTCACCATGGACAAGACTCCTCTCTTGGTAAAAGGTTTGTCACAGGTTGACACTTGAAAGGCGAATGTGTCTTCTTTGATGTTCCACAGCAGACCTAGACTTCTCTGCAAAGGAGGCGTGTCTGACCCAAGGTCAAGGTCTTTCACGCTGGCAGCATAGTCCTCAGAGTGAAATGCATTCATTAGCTCTTGGCTGTTGGATATAATCTTGTGGAGTCTCAAGTTTGCTACGGATAGCATCTCCTTTGTTCGGGTGAGAAGATCAATTGCTTCTTTAGCAGTAGGAAAGGATTTGAGCCCGTCGTCTACGTAAAAGTTTCTTTCGACAAATTGGGCTGTCCTTTTTAGTCCATAGATTGCTACAGCTGGGGAAGGGCTGTTCCCAAAGACATGCACCCTCATTCGGTAATCAATTACCTCTCTGTTGAGGTCATTGTCCTTGTGCCATAGGAACCTGAGGTAGTTTCTGTCGTCTTCCTTGACAATGAAGCAGTGGAACATTTGTTGAATGTCCGCCATCACTGCAACAGGTTCTTGTCTAAAACGAATTAGGACTCCAATCAGGCTGTTGTTCAAGTTGGGCCCTGTGAGGAGCATGTTGTTAAGTGAGATGCCTTCATGTTGGGCACTGGAGTCAAAGACAACTCTGATTTGGTCTGGCTTTCGTGGGTGATACACACCGAAGGAAGGGAGGTACAAGCATTCTTCTCCTTCTTTCAGTGGAGGTGCGGGTTCAGCATGACCTCTATCAAAGATATTCTGGATAAAGTCTACAAAATGTCTTTCCATCTCTGGTTTCCTGCTTAAAGTACGCTTTAAGGAGGAGAATCTTTTAATGGCTTGATGTAGATTGTTCGGTAGCTTCTCTCTCGGGAGGCGAAAGGGTAGGGGTGCTACCCAACTGTTGGAATCATCCTGAAAGAACTCGTTGTCCATTACTTTAAGGAATTCTTTGTCTTCTACTGAAGGAGCTAACATGTTGTCTTCACTGCTTGTATTGAAAACTGTAGAGCCAAACCTGTCATCGTATGTGCGGGAAAGGTTTGTGTTGTCATGTTGCAACTTGCAGATAGTTACCTTCTCCTTTACCCAGTAGTGATGTGGGCATGGCTCAAAGTGAGTATTATGACCATTCGGCAATACGTTTGTCTTGAATGAAGAAATCTTAGTAGGCCTTTTCATTTTGCCTATACAGACATTACCTATGATGACCCAGCCTAAGTCCAGGTACTGGGCAAATGGAGCATCTGGGGGTCCACTGACCTGCCTGTGCGCCTTGTGGACCCTTAGAATATCTCTTCCCAGCAGAAGAAGGATTTTAGCATCTTTGTCAAGTGGTGGGATTTCACTTGCTATTGACTTTAGGTGAGGGTGGAAGAAGGCAACTTCTGGTGTAGGTATTTCTTCTTTGTTGGCTGGTATCTGGTTGCACTCTACAAGTGTAGGTAAGGGTAATTGTAAGTTATCTCCTAGAGAGGACACAATAAATCCATGTGCCCTTCTTCCAAAGACCTCTGTAGTGCCGCTACAAGTGCCTAAGGTGTAAGGATGAACCTCTCCTCTTATGCAAAATAGATCAAACAGTTCAGATCGGGCAAGTGATCGATTGCTTTGATCATCTAAGATAGCATACACCTTTAAAGTCTTTTCTGGTTGATCCTTGTGGTGAACATTCACTAGGCATATTTTAGCACAAGACTTGTCACGGTGGTCTTCCCCACACACTTCCATGCATGAAGAAAATATCATGGTGGGATTAGCCACCTGATCTGTAATTTTCCCGTCGTGATTTGGCCTGGGAGAAAGGTTTGCAATTAGTGAAGGATTGGACTCAAGTGGATGGAGAGCTTGCACGTGGTCCTCGGAACCGCACTCTATGCACTTGATAGGGATTTTACATTCCTTGGCAAAGTGATCAGTGGAAGCACAGCACCTATAACATACCCCAAAGGTCTTTAGGAGTTCCTTTCGTTCTTGTAGGGGCTTCTTCCTATAGCTGTTACATTTTTTGAGGGGATGTGGCTTCTTGTGGATAGGACATAATCGGTTTGGGTTTTCGATCTTGCCGCTCTTATTTGAGGCGGGAGCTGAGGTGGGAGCGGGAATAATGTCTGTCTTCTTAACAGACACGGGACCTCTATGGTTCCTGTAGCTGATATGTAGCTTGTCACCTTTCAGTGGGGGAGTACTGAACTCACCAAATGCAAAACTAGGATCGTTCTTGGTGTCAGCAATGTTCCTGACAAATTCGCAGAAGTAGGAGAAAGGGGGAAATGAAACCTTGTTTTCCCGTTTGTATTTTGACCCAATTTGGATCCACTTTTCTCGTAGGCCATACGGAAGCTTGTAAATGATAGGGTTAACTCCTCGAGCAGTGTCCAGGTAACTGAGGCCCGGTAGTTTGGGGTTAGTTTTGGCAAGCTGGACTTCGAGAAGAAGGTCACTGAGTCTCTGGAACTCTTTATTGTCCTTACCGGATATCGTTGGGAAATTTTCCAATCGTTTGAGCAATGCATTCTCTATGGCTTCAGGACTACCATAACTCTGTTCTAGATGCTCCCATGCAGCGTTGAGACCTGCAGTTGGATTGTTGATGTAGACTGACCTGAGGCTCTTGACACGTTCTGTAGATTGTGGGCCAAGCCACCTGATCAGCAGATCCAGCTCCTCAGCAGCAGTAATACCAAGATCACCTATAGTAGTTTTAAAGGCAGCTTTCCAGCTTCTGTAATTTTCAGGATGGTCATCGAAGCTTACTAGGCCTGACTTGGTGAGCTGTCATCGAAGTATATACTTTACAAACTCTGCTGTATCAATTGCCTCTGACTTTACGTAGGAGGTCACTGGTTGAATGTTGTGGATTGCGTTGTTTATGGTATTGTTGTGAAAAGACTTCGGAAGATATGGTGCAACAAGGGGGTTCAGCTGAGTTGTTGGGTTAAAGTCTGGAACGGTACTATTAGCAGGAGGTTGATGACTTGCTTGCAGATTGGCGTGCAATTCTGTGACATGCAGAATCAGCATGACAGTCAGGCGCTGCACTAGGGTGGTTTTGCATGTAGGAAGTTGCTGGAACAGCTTTTGCCTGGTGGTGTGGTGAAGTCCTTGTGTTGTCGTGCAGAAATGAGGCAATTGAGTGCTCGCTGCTGTGGTTTAGAACATAGTTCTTAGTGCGTTCGAATGGATCTTCCACATCTGCCTTGACGCTGACCCTTTCACTAGCATTTTCATCTGCACCGATAGCTTGTTCCAAAATCTTTAGTCTTGCTTCAGCTGCCTCGTAGTTGCTCTGTTCCTTTAAAGCTTCAATTGCTGCCCTTTGACGGGCTGCTTTAGATGCTGCCTCAGCTTCCATTGCTGCCGCTTTGGCTTGCATTGCTGCCGCTTCGGCTTGCATTGCTGAAGCCTCAGCCTCCATGTCTGCTCTCTTTTAGCATATGCAGCCAGTACTTTGCTAGCCTCTGCTTCGGCACGGGCATTTATAAGCTGTTCACTAAGCGTTGAGTGCCTTGAACTGCGGGATCTAGAGGAACTTTTAGAATGTCTGGTGGATACGGATCTGTGAGATACAGTGTCCTGTGGCTGCGTTAATTTTGCTTCTGCCTTTGCTTTAGTTAGCAGGATAAAGCTTTCTCTTTCCATGTTAAGAAGCTGGACATTGTTAAGTTGCTCTAATGATTCCTCAGTGTTAATGTTTTGCAGGATAGTTATATATTTATTGCTTGTAGTCTGGTACAGTTCATATGAAGCAGAGAGATGTTTTATGGCGCCCACTAGTTGCAGTACCTCATGGCTGAGACATGAAATCACATCAATGTAGGTGAGGATTTTATCCCAAATCTGCTTCAAACTGGTTGCTAGTTCAGTTTTCACGGATTCATAGTTCTCTTTAACCTTCCATGTGGGTTTCACAGAGCATTTGGCTAATGCACTGGGCTCTGGGTCCTCATCCTGGCTTTCTCCATGTGGTGCATGCTGTGGTGTTTCACATACTGAGCCCTTTCCACTCATGATGGCCTGAGGTACACAGGCCTGGCTGTAGCAGTGAAGTGTGTCTGTATACTGTGTGGGGCTGTAACAAGCTGTGCTGGGGTTGTATGCAGACTTCTCATACAATACACACAGTTACACTTCGCTATGATCTGTCCTGTGACACAGCAATCTCTGAACAAGCTACTGAATATGTTCTTATACTATTCTGGACTGGCTGCAGAGGCTATGAATGTGTTTTTTCAGGAGCACATGGCGCTCATTGCCCTGATGAGATTATCCATACCAAATCACCTTCCCAGATAGTTTACTCAGTCACAACTCACACGTAAGAAGATCTGGCGGTGTTTATTCGTCCTATGATCTGTAGAATGTGCAGTTACAACAGGTAAAAGAACAATTCTTCCATACAGGATAGCAGAGAAACAAGTCACATATGAATGTACAGCATAGAATACACTAGAACAGAAAAAAGGGGAGGGGAGTACCTGGAGCAGCATGCAAACTATGGAGTGGCCCAAGGGACAAACTTAAGATGAACATTAAAGAAACAGTACATTATAATAAAACAATATCATGTAACATGACAGACACTGAATGTTTGGATGCGTTTTAGGCAGCCATGACCCAGGAAGAATCTCTAACAGCCATCTGAGGAGTGGCCAGTGAAGTTATCACTAGGCTGTAATGTAAACACTGCATTTTCTCTGAAAATACAGTGTTTACTGCAAAAAACCTGAAGGGAATTATTCTATTCACCAGAACAAATTCAGTAAGCTGTAGTTGTTCTGGTGACTATATTATCCCGTTAAGGAAGCAGTTTTGGTGACTCACTGCTCAATTATCTGCCATTTAGAAATTAAATTATCTTTGTTTCTGTTTATGCAGCCCTGGCCACACCTCCCCTGGCTGTGACTGACACAGCATGCATGAATACTAAATGGTTTCATCAGATGTAACTTACTTAAAAGTTTTTATCTCCTGCTCTGTAAATTGAAATTTAATTTCATAGCCTAATTACTTTTCCAGCCTTCCTCAAGGGGGATCTCAAACAGTATGGTCTATGTTCCTATTTATATACTCAAAGAACTTAGGGGAATTGTAGCCTAATTATAAACAGAAATGTAAAAGGGGCAGAACACACGTCCGATAGGTCTACCCGACACACAAGATTACTGACGGGTTCCGATGACGGTTTCCGATTACATCATCAGAACCAGGATATAATCTTGTGTGTCAGGTAGACCTATCGGATTCAACCTCTACAATTCCCCTAAGTTCTTTGGGTATATAAATAGGAATATAGACCACACTGTTTGAGATCCCCCTTGAGGAAGGCTGGATGCCAAAACATTGGGGTTGCTGTATCTCCTGCTCTGGGTTAGTATGCCTATATTGTTATGGGTTTGTGAGTTTCATAACTGAGCATAGGCGTGCGCACGGGGTGTGCCTGGGCACACCCTAATCCCCGTGGCACGCCTATGGTTTGAGTCCTGCAGGAACAGTGTTCCTGCACTTTTTTTTGAACAGGAACTCTGTTCCTGCAGGCACTCAGCGCCCCACTCACCTCTTGCCCCTGTCATGGGGGGGCAAGAGGTGATGGATTCCCCCCCCCCCGCTCTCCAGCTCAGCCGCGGCGAGGGAGCTGTCTGCTCTCTGCTTCCTCTCGCCGCGCGCTGATGCCGGGAGCCGGAATATGATGTCATATTCCGGCTCCCAGCTCCAGCAGACAGCCCGCGCGGCGAGAGGAAGCAGAAAGCAGAGAGCTCCCTCGCCGCGGCTGAGCTGGAGAGAGGCGCCCGCCCCACTGGACCCCAGGGAAAAGTCCACGCCAGCACTCCAGGTAGGAGGCTGGGTGGACATTGTTTTTTATTAAACTATAATAATTTGTTCTTGTGTGTGTCTGTGTGTGTGTGTCTGTGAGTGTGTGTTTGTGTGTCTGTGAGTGTGTGTCTGTGTGTGAGTGTGTGTCTGTGTGTGTGTGAGTATGTCTGTGTGTGTGTTTGTGTGTGTCTGTGAGTGTGTGTGAGTGTGTCTGTGTGTGAGTGTGTCTGTGTGTGTCTGTGAATGTGTGAGTGTGTCTCTGTGTGTCTGTGAATGTGTGTCTGTGAGTGTGTGTCTGTCTGTGTATGTGTGTGTGTGAGTGTGTGTCTGTATGTATGTGTGAGTGTGTCTGTGTGTCTGTGAATGTGTGAGTGTATGTGTATGTGTGTCTGTATGTAAATATATATATACACACACACACACACACACACAGAGCCGGCGCTATCTGAGTGCCGGCTCTGCTCTAAGCCTCCATGGGCCGGCGGGGAGACCAAAGATCTACCTCACCGGCCCACAGCAGCATGGAGGGAGGCAGGAGAGGACCCAGGGAGCTCTAGACAGAAGCTCCGCCAGGTTCCTCTCGCGATATCTGAGCATTGCTGTGGCAACGCTCAGATCTCGCGAGAGTTAACTCTAGCCCCGCAGGCTAGAGTTCACTCTCCACTTGACCACCAGGGATGGCACATGGCAACAAGGATTTACTAAT